CGGACAGCCGACTGCCGCTTCTGCCCACCCGGTTGGCCCGCTGTCGGGGCTGTAACGTCCTGACCTGGGCACGAGAACATGGTGTGAGACAGCGCTGAACGCCTCGCTAAAGCTGAGATGAAGAGCATCCACTGCTTCGTAGAAGGCAGGCGAGTCAGGCATGATTTACCCTCAGTAAATCCATGCCGACTGCTCCCAGTCACCTTCTCCTCCACATGCCCAAAACCACGCTCCGAGAAGACTTCCTCCATGACTTTCCTGGGGACTGAAGAGACACCATCTGGCCGGTAGTTTCTCAGAAGATGGGTGCAACATTTGCCTTTCTCCAGTCATCAGGGAGACGTAAAGAGTGATTATACTTCCAGTTACATATTTTTAACTTTATCCAAACAAAGCCATTTTTACATGGGGATAAATGCTGCTGATCATTGCACCGGCTAAATCTCTGTTCCCAAACCGGCGTTCTCAGCTTCCACTACTGGAGTTTGTTGCCAGTGTATGTAAAATTCTCAGGACTGGGCAGCTTGAGAAAAGATCTGCAGGATGTGAGCTTTACAGACACACCAGTGTGTTTTATTTTACTGCTTAGTGATTTTAGACAGAAGACTGACTACAGTGATAAAAAACCACTACTGACCAACACCCAAATCCTCCATCTACTGCCATAATTACACATCAGCACAGAGCCTGGTTACCTGCAAATACTGATGAAGTCAAATGAATCCTCTGTCAAGCATTGCTGTGTCTGATTGCCTCACGTTCTGTTAACCATCTAAAATTTCCAGTGAACCTTAGAAGAATACAAACTGCCACACGCTGTGTTTAGAAAGCAGAACTTAAGGCTGCTGCTGGTTAAATGGGTGCAAACGTTGCTCGATTAAAGCCAATCTCCCAGAGCAGAGCAAGGCAGGTGATGGGGTGCGAACAGCTCAGTCTCCTTCCCACCCCAAGAGCCACTCAGGGACTGACCCCTGCCTGGCGGGCAGGGCTGAGGACCATCAGGGTGCTCAGCAGAAGTAGGGTGCAGGCATTTTAATTATGCTTTCACTGGAGTGCCTTTGTTGTAGAAAATAGATTTATTTTTTTTTTTTAAATCAGTATTTTATGAGAACTGTCAGAGCATGGTGCCACTCCAGCCTGGGCACAACCACCTCTGTGTCTCGGGACACGTCGTGACCGTGGTTACAGGGGCCTCGGCGCAGCCGTGAGTGGGATCAGGAGATACCGGGGAGCTGCAGTGCAGGTGGGCTGGTGGACAGCCAGGAGGCCATCTCCAGCAGGAAGAGCACTGGAGCTCCCGTCGTGCTGTAAACGAAACGTATCCTTGTTGGGTTGACATCCGTCGGCTGCAGTCATTGACAGGAAGCGCGACGAGTAAGCAGGATTCCCTTCGGCGACTAAAAGGTGCTGTTAATTGTGCAAGCCCACGAAGTGAAGGCGTTCGGTCAGTGAAATGAGAGATCCAAGGTTTACCTGTTACTCGGAACCAGTGCCCACCTGTGTAGTTCACTGCAGAACTGCAAGAAGTTGGCGTAACAGCAGCACCTGATCCTGCCTATTTGCCATGGCAGGACCAGCCCGAACTGAAGCGCTCCACGCTTTGGCTGGTCCTGCTCTTAAAATGAATTATTAACGCATTTAATTATGGTAGGATGGAGACTCTGCAAACTATTCCACTGCTTTTTGCTAATCAAAATCTCCCATGCTGCAAGTCAAGCTTTGTTAGTCCCATCGCTCTTGGGTGGGAGGACACCTTACTGGCTTTGCTAGGTCCTTTCCCACAGGTGAAGATTTAGCGTATCACAGAATCACAGAATGTTCGGGGTTGGAAGGGACCTGTGGGTCATCTGGTCCAACCACCCTGCCGAAGCAGGGTCACCCAGAGCAGGCTGCACAGGACCTTGTCCAGGCGGGGCTGGAATATCTCCAGAGAAGGAGACTCCACAGCCACAGTCTTCTGCTTTGCCCATCAACAGGCATATTAGAAGCAATTCTCGTCCTCCCCACGTGGCTGTTAGCAGACTATCTCCAGTACATATTAACCTATCCATTTGGTGGGTCTGGCTGGCACATCTACGGGAAGTAAAGACATCTTGTAGCCACCGTGGTTTAGTCCTGTGGCAGCTGCCTGCGGCACTGGGTCAGCAGTAAGACCGAGAGCAAACTCTGTCCAGACAGGGATTCCACTATGGCCAGGAACAGACTTACCTGACATCAGCCGGATCCAGTTATCTACGCATCGAAAAGCGTTTTTTAATCGGAAGTAGCTTGCTTTTTGCCAAGACAAGTGTCAACTGAGGGTGATCACAGGCTATCCAATACTCTGTGTTCATTTCTCTCACCAAAATATCACTATGGAAGAGACTCCATCGCTCACATGCGAATAAAGTGATTCTCTGAAGAGAAAATATTTGGTTTTGATGAGTGGCTAGAATCTTTTCATTTGCAGATGCCTGTAGAATAAACAAAAACAGTACCAGGCTTTTCTTAGACGTCTTCTGTGGAGCACGTAACAGCTTCCAACCTGGGCCGCTTCCGGATTAAGCTATTTGCTGTTCCTGGGATCCAAGTTACCAATGTAAATTGCTTCCATTAGTTAAGGAATCACAGTAACACTACAAGCACGATCTATTGTAATCAGCCTTCCAGAGTGACCAAGAACAAGCAACTTTCTGCTCACTCAGTGCCACAAGGCTGGTGTGCAGGGAATTGCAGAAGCTTACTTAAAAAAACCCCAAGATGTCCTTAAAGGTTCAGCCTTTGTAAGCCACCGACTTGCAAAAGTTTAAAGGGCAAGTTGTCCCGTTGAAGCAACCGCGGAGCCTTGCTCTCAGGCTGCCTTTTGCCCATTCTGAATCTTGTCATCTCCTCCCTGGAATAGCTGTGTTTTATTTTTTTGCCCCAACCTAACTGGTCCTTTGAAGCTGTTACCCTACCACCTTACCTGTCGGGCTTTGATCAGGTGCCTGGTGTAGCGGCGACAAGAGGCAGCTCTCGGCCCTTCCACAGCAGGGCTGCGAGCGCAGGGTAGGACGAGGGAGGAAGCGGGAGCGAGAGGCAGCAGCAGAGGCCGTTGCGGACGCGACAGTTCTCCTCTCGCCCAGGCAGAGGGGAGACACAGGCTCGGCAGGAGGCCCGTGCCACCCAAGGCCCGGGATCTTCTGGCGTCTTGACCCATTTCCAGGTGTTGCAGTCGGGCTGTTACTACGCGGTAGCTCAACGTACAGACCAGAGACCGACACCGCGAGCAGCACCTCGGATCCAGCCCTGCCAGAACGACCCCCCGGAAAACACCTGAGAAAGCTCTTCTTGCATCTTTCTCGCTTCTGTGTCCAGCCACAGCCAACTGCATTAAAACGTGCGTACTGATCTTCAAACTTCCCACCACGAGGTCACAAAAGTACAGAAGAAAACTCTTCCCACGGCATCACGCTGGAGCTCGATTCTGACGTCTGGCGGATACAGACTGGACCTTAGCGGACCAGGCATCACAGAACCACAGAATGGTAGGGGTTGGAAGGGACCTCTGTGGGTCATCTAGTCCAAAA